TTTAAAAATATCAGCTCCTGGTTTCATTTATACTTTGTATTGTTTCTTGGTTTCTAATCATTTTTTTATGCTCTGATTTTAATTAGCACTGTAGCACTGTCCTCCCGTTGTTCATCAATTTGCTTGAGTGGGCACCAGTAACATCTCCATTATGAGACTTGTTGTTACTGTTTTTGGCATATGGAATACGCTACGGGTAGCTTGCCAGGCTTTGCCGTGCGGACAGAATACTCTCGGTAGCTTGCTGGGCTCTCCGAGAGGGGCAGAGGAATCGAACCCGACTTGGCCACGTGCAAGGCAAACACCCTACCCGCTATGCTACTGCTCTGACCCATGATTTTAATTATTTCCTTTTTTTTTTTTTAATTGTTTTGGGACTTTTGGGGTTTTTTTTTTTCTAGTTTCTCAAGCAATGAGATTTGACAATTGATTTACACTTTTTCCTGGTTTTGAACTTCCCCTTTTGCAGCAACCCATAGGTTTTGATAGTTTGTGCCTTCATTATCATTTATTTTGAACAATCTTTTCATTTCTTCGTTGGCTTCCTCCTTGACTCAGTTATTATTTAACAGAATGTTTTTCAGTTCCAAGTGCTGGAGCTTTTTCCAACTTTCCTCTCTATGGTTAACTTCTATCTTCATGACATTACCTTGGTCTCGAAAGATACTTGGCACTTGATATGATTTATATATTCATGACTTTATGGACTCTAAATGTGTCCCCAGCATGTGAGCTGTGCTGGAAATTGTTCCATGTATACTGAGAATATGTATTGGACTGTTTGGGTATTGGAGGGACCTAAAACATCGGCTCTTCCCACCCTCATTTAGGCCTCTAATTTCTTTATTGAGTTCAACATGTTCATGGTTGGCCTGTCCAGTGATGAGAGTAGGATATTAAAGTCTCCACTACTAATGTGTTGCCATCAGTGTATCCTCGGATCTATTAGCAGCTGCTTTATAAGCTTTTCTGCTTCTTCACTTGATGCATATATATTGATAAAAAGTTAAGTCCTCTTGATCTTTTGGTCCATTAATCAATGTGCATACTCCATTCCTTTCTTTTACTACTTTCTCTAGCTTTAATGTTATTTGATCTGTTACAAATATGGTTGTCCCTAGGTTTTTAATCTGCCATTAACCCATATGATTGTTTTCAAGCCTTTTATTCTGAGCCTATGTTTATCAGGAGTGTTCAAGTGTTTCCTGTTCTATCCAGCCTCTGATAGAAGAGTGTCTATCAGAGTGCCTTTTGATAGAAGAGTGTCATCCAATTTTTTGTAGATAATTATAGAAATTATTGATAAGAATGAATTTGTTTCCATTTTCTATGAGGATTTTGGTCATTTTTGCTATTCAACATTTTTGTTTGTTTTTATAGGTGACCATTCAGTATTTATTGCAGAGCTAATTTATATGCAGCAAATATCTTCACTGTTGTTTGACTGAGAATGTTTTTTATCACTCCCTCAAATCTGAATGATAACTTTGCAGGGTAGAAGATTCTTGGTAACAGATTCTATTCATTTACTGCTTTGCACATGTCTTTCCCTTCCCTTCTTGCTTGTAAAATTTTATTTGAAAAATCTGATAGGGAATTTAATGATTTTTTTTTTTTGGTTTGGTTTGGTTTGGTGCCACACCTGGTTATACTCAGGGCTTATTCCTGGCACGGCACTCAGGAATTATTCTTGATGATGCTTGGGGGACCATATGAGATACCAGGGATTGAACCCAGGTCAGTTGGGTGCAAGGTAAATATCCTACTGGTCCTTGGGAGAAGCTAAAAGTGGATTCCAAGTGTTTATAGCAGCCATCCAATGCTCCCATTCACATAAATCAGGCTAGTGTCTGTGAGTACTCTTATCTGGTACCTATGGGTGCCTTGTGGTGAGTCAGACTATTTCTTGCAGTGCTGGAGCCCACCAGACCACACAGAGTCGTCACAGGGCTCATCTGGCAGAGCCAGTGTGGGTGAGCTAAGCCCTTGCTCTCTTGGGAAGGGAGTGGGTAATTCAGGCATGGCCACTGCAAATACTCACTCGTCTGGCAGGAGCAGTGCTCAGCCTGGCACACTTCTCCTGGGAAGGGTCAGGAGCCTTCTGGCTGTAGTGAGTTTTCACAGGGCTCACTTCTAGGAAGGATTTTTAAGTGGTTGCAATTCAAGATGGCAAAACCTTTATCATTGTTCCAGGGACCAATATTTATTTGTAAATCCCAGATTAAAGAAAGAATTTTAAACCATTCACTTATAGCTCATAACAAGTCTTAAATCAAAGCATTTTAAAAAATTGTCCAGGGCCATAGTGATAGTACAGCAGTGAGGGCACTTGCCTTACATGTGGCTGACCTGGGTTGTATCCCAGCACCATATACAGTCCCCTGAGCCTGCCAGGAGTGATCTCTAAGTATGTGTGCCCCCTACCAAATAAAATACCGTGTCGAAATCTCTCCTCATTCTAAGTACTTCATTTATTTCTGTCCCTTCTCTTTCACAGGTATTGTTTTTTGTTAGAAATTTTCCTTTTTTATCCATCAGCTCAAGTAAGCGAATAAATTGTCAGCTATAGTCAGACTTTCCATTTCCTTTCTTGCCACGAAAGAGATTGCATTTTCTATTTGGTTCCATGTGATAAATGAAATTGCAATTGCCAATATAAATCTTGTTAGATAAATGGGGAGAAGAAAACCTTGCTGAATGTGATCATCTCCCTCTCGTCAGAAATGCATGACTGAGTGCTATGCTTTTTGTTTTAAAGTGAAATGGTCTTATTTAGAGAATATGAGAGAGAACAGAGATTATGAAATACCACAGAGAAACAGAGGGAATTACAACCCAAGTTGAGATGCTAGAAATTCTGGAATGCAGAGCACTGCCAGTGAGCTTCTTTAACTCTACTTTGAATATACGAATTGTGCTTGTGAGCTTGGCTGTTTTTACCAAAGGCTAAAATTACCTCCTTATTGCATAAAGTGTGGACATAGGAAATCTTTATATCTTGTAATAATGAATTTACACTGACTTCCCATTGCATTACAATTATGACCTGTGTTCTTTTTATGTATGAGATAACTAAGTTTTTGTCTATGGGAAATGGTGTGATAAAGCCTATTTAATCATTGTAGCATTTTTTTTATTTCTTTATTGAATCACTGTGGGAAAAGTTACAGAGCTTTCGGGTTTAGGTCTCAGTCATGTAAATATCAAACACATTTCCCTTTACCAATACTTATTTTTAACCGCGAACCCCAATAGAACCCCACCTCCCACCCCTCCCAATTCCTGTGAGGCAGATTAGTTCTAGTTAATACTCTATCTACTTTGGCTAGATACATTGTTTCGATAGAAGATGCACAATTATTGTTTCGAGTTTACGGCCCCCCCCCTCCAATCAGACATGCTGAAACAGCGTTGTGAAATGATTTGCTTTCTACAACTTGGTTTAAGAATAAAATGATGTCGCGAGGCCACCATAGCAGCCGCACGGTTTTGGATTTCTGCTATTTTACTTATTAACCCTGGAAGAATTTCTATTAAAAGTTAGATAGTTAAGAGATTGGCTTCTGTGCTCTGGAGTCATGGCCGTGCCGGAGAACCGCTCGTGGGGGGCAGCTGGCGACCTCGGTCGGGCGTGAAGGACGGCCCATTACGCCCCCCTTCCCATGAGGTCCCTGCCGCCCCCAACCGCGGCTCAAACCTACTGTCCACAAAGCTCCTGTGCGTCCGCCATCTTTCTTTCCAGAGAGGAGCAGGCAGGCGGGTCAACACCCTTTCCCCTCCGGGCAGGCGTGCTGGCGCGGTTTAACACATAGTCCATTTGCTTTTCTGCTCCAAGCGGGTGGTTCTCTGTGCTAAGTCCTTGTGCCTCCGGGGCGTGGCCGTGCTGGAGAGCCGCTAGTGGGGGGCAGCTGGTGACCTCGGTCGGGCGTGAAGGACGGCCCATTACGCCCCATTGTAGCATTTTAATTTCACATAAAGTTGGATGTGATTTCAAAGAAACTTCACTGTCACATAAAAGTAATTCATTTTAACTTTTCCATATGCTTGTTCGTTGAATTTGTAAATCACACAATCACAAAATCACAAATCATCCTGTTATTCATCGATTGCCTCGAGCAGGCCCCAGTAACGTCTCCTTCATCCTAGCCCTGAGATTATATTCAAGGCTCTTTAGGAGAATGAGACCCATCATTGTTACTGGTATTTGGCATATTGGGTACGCCACGGGGAGTTTGCAGACTCTGCCGTGTGGGCAGGCTACATTCGGTAGCCTGCCAATTTGTCCAAAGTAGGAATGAGATAATAAGATGTCATAATAAGATGTCCGGGAGCTGGTTTTTATAGTCTCTGAGTCTTGGCCGCTGATGGGATTACACGGCGCCAGGGGGCCAGTTGGTGGGTGTGACCCCCGCCTACTGGAATTTGGAGGATCTAGGTGAAGGATGCTCGGCCCAAATCCGAGTAGGCTTGGAGATCTCGGCCCCGGAACCCGCATGACTTTGTCCCTCTGCCAGTACCTTCATGTGTGCGGAGAGTGGTCTCAGCATGGTGGTGGTTGGTCCTGGAGGTCTTTGGCTGCCGGAGCCCTGGTCGGGCTTTGTAATTTGTAATTTGTAAATAGTAAAGTTAATCATTACTTTGCCTTTACATGATAATTTCATTTCATTAAATATTTATTTCATATTTCTACAATACTCTACTCCCTTTCTGTTTACAAATTTCCTTGCAGTTCCAGTCAATATTTGATTTGTGGCTGTGGAATAATTGAATGTTCTTATAAAATCTTGTAATTTAAGACAGTGCTCAGGACGATTCCTGACTCAAGAGTCATTCCTGGATGCTCATGGGTTATATGGTGTCAGGAACTGACCCCATAATTCCACATGCAAAGACTGTTTCGCCTGCATTCAGACTTTGAGCTGTCTGGCCCAAAACCTTCCATTTTAAAGAAAGTTGTGTTCCAAATCTTTTCACCAAATGTTCTTTTCTATTTTTCTAAGGTACATTTTATATTGGAGGAAACGGTTCACTGAACAGCCCATTACAGATTTTTGTAGTGTGATAAGAATCAATTCCACAGCTCCGTTTGGTAAGTATACATGTTGACTACCATCTTTTTACTACAATTCCAATTTTTAAAAAAAATAATAATCTTTCTTTCTTCACTTAGAATTCTCTCACTTTTATGAGAGCTAAAATTATATCACAGTGTTTATGACTCCTAAATTCAATAGAACTAAAAGACTATGTAACAGAGAAGAGATGTATGGTTAGATAGACACATAGAGAGAAAATAAGTAAGTGGACGTGCATAAGTGTTCACATTGGTAGCGGGGCAGGCGACAGGAGAGACTCCAATGGATGGTGCTGGAGGCTTCTCCAGGCTCTGTGTTCTGGGGTTGTTGCTGGCCGCTGTGTGATGCTGGGTATCTGGGCATTGAACCAGGGTCAGCCTTTGCTGCTGAGGAGCCTTAATACCTGTACTATCTCTCTGGCTCTTGTACTCACCCTTTGTAAATTCTTCTGGAAGAATATGGTAAGCATTTTTCTCATTTATGTTCTCTAATCTCTCAACAGAAGAACAAGATAATTATTTTTTGCTGTGTGATGTTTTACCAGAAGATAGAGTACTAAGAGAAGAGCTTCAAAAACATAGATTGGTAAGAATAGTTTAAATGAACGAACAGGGCACTGGAAAGACATACAAAATTAATGTGTATATGTGGGTGAGTGGGTGTGGTTTTTTAACTTTTTATTCTAAAAACTTAATTATGTAAAATAGGAGACAAAACATGAAGATCCTAAAACCAGAAAGTAAACAAGTCCGAAGGTTAAAGCATTTCATGTTTAAAATGCAGAGAGAAATTGGGGTTTTGTTTTGCTTCCTGAATTATCTCTAAAATAACAAGAGAGCTTACACATTTTAGTGTAATTTTAGCTGACTGACACATGCAAGGCTTCAACACTCATGGAAAAATGCCCTCAGCTAAATTGACTTGAATTGATTAACTTTTTTTCTCCTCTTCACTGGAATGTGCTATGTACTAGTACTTCTTTTATTCCCCTTTATGAATAAAGCATATGATTTGATCAAAAGAGTAACCTCTCTCACTTTCAGCCTCAGCCTTAGCAAGTGGGTGTGACATGTCGGCATCTTTCAGTGCAATAGCCTATATTTGTGAAATTTTTTATTTTCAAGAGTTGAAAAGAAATTAATTTTGAAGTTCCTAACTCTGCTCAAAACCAAGCAACTTTTCATTTTTTTGTGATTTAGTCGCCCCTATTACTTGGAATTTATTTGCTCTTCCCTTGGTAGTTTGTTATCTGTCTTTTGGTATCTTTTGATTTGACAGTATGTGTTATAAGAGAAAATTATGATTTCAATGTTTCTGCCAAATCTACAAGAGATCTAGGAAGAATATAAAGTTTGTCTACATTAGTCAGACAGTTTGAGGAAGTCCACTGGAACACATTTTATTTTGCAAACCTCTCAAATGATCACTTTTCCCCTAAAAAGAGAAAATAATGTCTGTTGATTTATTATAAGAAAAATTCTGTTTTTACCTATAGCAGCAAACCCATCCAGTGAAGAAATGTACCTTTCCTGAATTTCCCTTCTTTTCCTTTAACAATGTCTTAAAATACCATCAAAACATGAAGATCATTCAAAGATTTGGAGTACATGCCTTGCATGCACACAGTGCATGTTTGATCCCCACCACACAACACCACAAGTACCATTGGATCCTGATAGTCCCCCACAGCACCAAAAACTACCTCCCGAACCCCAGATATAAGTTAAAAATCTTCCCCAAAAGGATGAATTTAGTATCTTATTTTATGGATTATTGTTTGCTTGCATTTATTCATAATTTTTTAATTTCTGTGAGGTTTTTTCACTCTCTGAATCAGGAATGTTGTAGGGCCAGGGAGATAGTACAAAAGGGTGAACCATACCTGATATTATGTGCCTTTTTCTGCCTCCACACCAGTACTTCCTGGTGAGCCATTTTCCATCCCTGCGTCTCTGAGCACCAGTGAGGAGACCCCCTATTTACAAAGGTTAAGAAAAAGAATGATCAAATTATCACAATCTAGAACCTCAGAGATTTCTTTATAAGAACTTAAGTCCTGGGGTCGGAGCAAAAGTACAGTAGCCAGGGTGTTTGCCTTGTACAAGGCCAACCCAGGTTTCATTCCCAGCATTCCAGGTAGTCCCCTGAGCCCTGCCATGAGTGACCTTGATTGCAAAGCCAGGAGTAAGCTATGAACACTGCCAAGTGTGTGCCCGCTCCCAAAAGAAAAAATTAAAAGTAAAGAGGAAACCAGTGAGATAGTACAGTAGGCAAGGCATTTATCTTGCACATGACTGACCCAGGGTATTCCTTATGGTCCCCCAAGCATCACCAGGAGAGATTCCTGAGTGCAGAGCCAGGAGTAACCCCATGAGCATTGCTAAGTGTGCCTCCAGAACCAAAATAAAGAAAGAAAGAAATGCCTTACTTCTGATAAATGTCGTTTAAACCAGCAAAATTGCTTTATGGCAATTTAATAATAAATTAAATGAGTGTATCATCCAGTATGTGTTTGAAGGAAAGAACTTGGCTCACTGTCAGGAGAACTTCAACTCAAATTCATGAGAGAGAGTACTTCTGCATTTGCTTTCCTGATCCATCATGGCTGGCACGTGTGTGCATCTTTAATATTGCCCCTTGTTTGAAACTCCGAGTCCTAGCCTCTTCAACTTGGCTCTCAGCCCATGTAGGGCTGTATAACTGAATATGGGGGTTACAGATAATTAGACAACAGGAAAAGGTTTCTGAGCACACAAGCACAGACAAGAAAACTGGACACATAATGAAGGAAAGGGTTTCTGGCAGTGCTTGCTCATGTTGCATTTCTGAATTGGAAAGCGGCCAGGAATGGGAAAAGTCTAAGAAGTCCTGCTCTAAGTAAATACATTGGTGTGAGTTGCTCTTAGCTCAAGATGACTTTGTAATGTCTTTGAGGACAATAATTATGTCTGATTTTTAAATATCCTCAGTAACACTTAGTATATTGCTAAGATCATGCTGGTGTTTTGGTCTCCAAAATCCACTTTCTGAAAAATAAATTCCTATTTTCATGTGAGGGATGAAGGCATATAAGTTCCTAAATGATGCACTTAGTTACTATAGTGGATTTAAGGCAGGAACCGTATTTCTATTTGCATTTTCTGCTCGTCCTGACTGGTTCCTTGGTACTTTGTAAGATGTGTGGATCTTTTTAGTTTTCGTTTTGAAGAGCTTCATTTCTACACTTCTTTGAAATTATTTATCTCTACTCCAAAAGAGAACTACAGGATTATGAAAAGTCTTACAAGTTTGAATAGTTTATACACCTTCCTTCCTTTAGCTGCCCCATTTTATTAATTTGGGGGAGGGGGAGAGTAATGGGAGGTCACACCCAGCGGTACTCAGGAGTTACTCCTGGCTCTGCACTCAGGAGTGACCCCTGATAGTACTCAAGGGGCCTGATGTGATGCCAAGAATCCCAGTTGGGATTAGTAACGTGCAATGCAAATGCCTTACCTCCTGTATTATATCTCTCTAGTTCTAGCTTCCGATGATCAATGGGAGGGCCTTTACTTACTTTTTTAGTTCTAGCTTCCATTTTTTAAGTAGTGGGTTTTGACCACTAGCCTACAAACCCGTGCCAGTCGTAGAAATTATTACCTTTTAGCTGATAGTGATTTTCAACAAACAGTACTAGTCCCCAAAAAAGGTTTGCTTTTTTCATTCTTCCCTTGGATCAGAGAAATAGCTCAGAAGGCTGGAGTGCACACATGGCAGAGACCTGGTATTTGATTCCCATTAGGTGATCCCCAGAGCACCTAGCCAGGAGTAGCCCCAGCACCTGTAGTGGTTCTTGCCCTCCTTTTTTCATCCAAGCATAGACTCCTGTGTCCACCTCCGCTAGGCTGATGGCTAAAATTCTGGTGTCAGTGAGCTCAGAATAAGTAATAGTTGGCTGAATGCACCTGCAACCTTCACCCCCACACACCGTATAACTCCAATTCTAAGTAAAGTTAAAGTTATATTTCACTATTCCAGAACTGATAATTTGCCTCTTTAACTTTTCTCGTAATGGTACCACCATTCTCCTGGTCACTAGAATCATCATTAACTCATTTTGTTACCTCAGCTCGTTCCTTGCATCATGTTTTAAGTCTTATCAGTACCACCATATCCATACACTTCTTTGCAGTGCTAATACTGGTTTGTTTGTTTGTTTGTTTGTTTTTAATGTAGGAATGTTGATATTTATTTATCCACTGACTAAGCTGACTGTAGTGGACATGAACTCCACATTGCTTTTTTTTAAATTGAATATCCATGAGATAGACAGTTACAAAGCTGTTCATGATTGGGTTTCATAAAATGATCTAACACTCATCCCTCCACCAGTGTACATTTCCCACCACCAATGTCTGTTGTTTCACTCCCACCATCCCCCAACACTCCACCACCCACTCCTAATCTGCCTCTTTAGCAGACACTTTTCTTCTTTCTTTCTCCTTTTCCTTTTGTGCATTACGGCTTGCAATACAGGTATATCAAGAGGTCATCATATGTGTACAGGGTGTTCAATATTTTTATTGAAAAGGTAAGGCTGGAGTAGCTTTTAACTGAGTGTCAGCTTTGGGGTGTGGAAGTGACTGCTAAGGCTTCCAAGAAGTACAGGGATGTGGGGGGAGGTAGCCTATCCTGACCCCAAGAAAGCCTGGAGAATTTCAGTCACAAAATCCGCATACCAAGATTTTCAACAGATTATATCTCAGTGAGGTCTGTTCTGAGACGGTGGAGTCCAACAAGGTGCGTGGTGTCAATTTTGGATTGTGAAAGCAAGCAACTGCCAGGGGTTCTGTTTGGGTGGGCATCAGGCTAACATACCCCCGCCCCCCCGCTTCAATTTACCCTGGTCTGTCCAGCCTTGCACAGGTCTGAGATTAACTGCAGTGTTTGATCTCTTTCAAGACTTATCTATATGTCTCTGAAGCAAATTCGATAAATGAGCTTGAATTGTTGAGCAGAGGTGATTTGTGGGCGTGGCTCCCACATACCTAACTTTTGGCCATTTAATTTCTCAGGAAACTCAGTCCTAAGTTGTTGGCATCTGACCAGAGGCAATGCAGCAACATTGGGGTATCAGGAAGCCAGAAGGCACCATCAGGCTGCTGATGCACTTGCCCCACGTACAAGTTGACCTGCTGGCAGCACCACCCCCCCTAGTGCTAATACTTTTTTTTGTATTTTTTTTTATTTTATAAAGTTCACAGTGTTTGATTACATTTAATATTCAAACACCATCCCACCACTATTTTTGGGGGGGGTGGTTTGTTTTTATTTTAATTTTTTTATTAGTGAAACACCATGAGGTACAGTTATAGACTTATAAATTTTTGTGCTTGGGTTTCAGTTATACAATGATCAAGTACCCATCCCTCCACCAGTGCCCATCCTCCACCACCACGGGTCCCAGCATCCCCCCCCCACCCTCCATGCCCCCCGTCCCACCCTGCCTCTGTGGCAGGGCATTCCCCCTTGTTCTCTCTATCTTCTTTTGGGTACTGTGTTTTGCAAGAGAGGCATTGAGTGGCAATCATGTTTGGTCTATAGAC